ATCGGAAACTCTATTGTACAACCTTTCTTGCGGAAAATGATTTCCTTGCACTTAGATGGATTGCTACACATACCATTACTTCTAGACCACTGGGAAAACTGATTAATCAGTGCGATAGAATTGTCATTATCACCTATCACAGGCGAGATAATGGTTGTATCATCTGCATATTTTACCAGCACGCTCTTATTGTCCAAGTGTATCTCTAAATCACTGAGAAAGACATTGAACAAGTGCGGCCCGCTGACACTTCCTTGGGTGGTACCTTTGTTGACACTTTTCCATTTTCCAATAAACCCATTTCTAATGACTCTCTGCTGCCTGTCTTCCAAAAAGCTTAGATACCAGTTAACTATAAAAGGATTTAGGGGGAGTTGCTTCAATTTGTGTGAGAGGAGATCGTGTTTCACACTATCAAAAGCCTTGCTGAAATCCATAGCGAATAGGCGTACCGCTTTGCACTCTGGGATATCAAGATATTGATTGACAGTATGTTGGATAGTCAGTAGAGCATTGGTACAGCTCCCTCCCTCTATGTATGCAAACTGTGAGATCCCAGAATGTTCTGGGATCTCACAGAATCAAAAATAATTACCATTTTATTTTTGATAATATAATAATGATAGTGATGATGACGATGATAATGATAATGATAACAATAATAATGGTAAAATATTATTTCTATAGATTGGTGGCATGTTACAACTTATTGACAAGAGCCTGGTTCAAAAAATCCACACCCTTGTTGGTGAAGGGGTCAAAACAGTTGACGAAATGAAAAGGCACTTGCGACACTATGTCAGGAATGATCTTTTTGCTGGTCAGAATCCCCCACCAGTCACAAACAGGCGCTATCATCCCAAGGATGTGGATTTCAGGAACCACATGTATAAGGCAACTGTAAAACAGATGCTGTTCAAGGTTGACCAGGAAAATCTTGAGGAGAAAATTAAGGGGTGGAAACAAGAGAGTCCTGAGGATCTCTTTTTCTTTAGACCTTGCTCCCTATCCCCTATGGAAGCTGTGCCTGGCAACATCTCTGACACAGATAGCAGTGTTGAAGCTCATATCACTCAAAACCTCCTATTTTTGCATCAAACAGCTTGGTAGAGACATTTAATGAGCAGATATGGAAATGAAATCATTCTTCTGGACGCTACATAGAAGACCATGAGATATGAGCTTCCATTGTTCTTCCTTGTTGTTAAAAAACCAATGTTAACTATACAGTGGTTGGGGCTTTTATAACCCAAAAAGAAACAACAGCTGCAATAGAGGAAGCACTGAAAATATTCCGTGCCTGGAATCCCAAGTGGAAACCCCAGTACTTTCTGACAGACTTTTGCCATGAGGAAATCAATGCAATCGAGTCTATATTTTAAGGTTTGTACAGTGTACATGCAATAAATTTTTAAATCATAGAATTATGTACATGCACAATGCAAGAATGATTTTGACCCCCTTCCCTCTGTACTTCAAAGAAGCTGTGGTGTCGGTCTGCCATCAAAGCTATAGTAAGGAAATCTCAAACAACAAAGCTCAATTTTTTATTTTATCTCTAGATACAACAACTTATCTTTGTGATTTCCATCGTGAGCAATGTTGGGAAAGATGGCTCCGTAAAGCAGACAATGGCTTAAACCATCAAAGGGAGGAGGTTCTTTCCTTGCTTCGCAATGTGGCGAGGTCTCCAACAGAAGACGTCTATCATACAAATTTCAAGTCCTTAACGTCTAGTGAGTTGTGGATGTCAAATCCTCAATTGCGCAACTGGTTTGAGAAAACATGGTTGCCAGAAGCCAAGGTACAGTTAAACTAAAGAAAAAAAAGTAAAATGATAACAAAAGAAAACTGATAATGTAATCAACACTTAGTATTCATTACTTTTGGTGATGCAAAAAGGGTTATTAAAAATGATGTAAAAAAACCTTATTTTCTTTTAGAATCCAAGGTGTTTATTGCAAACTACACAACTGCGGTTCTTAGTTGCTATATGCATACACTCAGAAATACTTTATTCAGCCCCAATGGGCTCTTAATAATTTTTCAATTATTTTTTAAATATAGACTAGTGAGCAGCACTTCTGCGAACAGTAGTTTTAAAAACTTCTTTTTATTTTCCTACGCGTTTCGTCTAACTGTCGTAGACTTCTTCAGGGAGTTTTACAAGTATAACCAAACGCCTGTATTTATAAACCAAAGTTACAAGGGCCGATAACCGTAAAGGCTTGGCCGGACTTACGAACAGGAACAGGTGAAGTTGTGAAAAGTTTAACACGTGTATGTGAAAAATTTAACACGTGTAAGGCAAGGTGAGAAAAATATTTTGGGGGCCACGGTTTTAGCTAAGACCGTGGCCCCCAAAAACTTACTTACATAGATTACCCATTGTCACAGTTTTCTTGTAACACACAGTACAATCTAAGTCTGGCAGAATATTACTGAGAACCTTCTTAATACGAGCGTGACTGTACTTGAACGTAGCCTTAAAGACAAGAGTCCTGCCTGGCCGAGATCTATGTTTAGGTGGCCGATCATACAATGATCGAAACTAAGCAAAAAGCGAGCAACATTAGCGGAGATAAATCTGCTGTAGATAGACATGAGCCTTTCGCGGGAATTAATTACATAAGTACGATTAGCATACCAGTCCTGTTGCGTAACTTTGCGGTATGATAGCTCGTCATACAGATGTCTAAGTGTCTCCGCTTGAACCCAATCCGTTGACAGAAGAGCCGGTCCAAGGTTTTTATCCGTGGGCAGAATTTTAATGCCAGGATTGGATTTCAACTCGTGGAGGTCTTCTCGCTCTTGCTTCGAGAGATTATTTCTCGAGTGCGGTTTTTCAGCCGTGATGCTCTTTTGTAACTCTTTGCGAAGCGCGAAGAGTCTGTCCTCAAGATCTGGGTTTTCCCTCAGTGGAATCCAGCCAGTTGGAACGTACAATCTGGGATTGAAATCACCGCTTTGAGGTTGTTTGGGAAACTTATCTTGGAGGCGAACTCTTCGGCAAAAGTCTTGAATTTGCTGGTCGAACTGAGGAACAGTCGGAGGTCGCAGGGAAGGTCTGAACTTCAGGCCTAGGCCCAGAACCTTAGACTGTAGCTTAGTCAGCTCAACAGAAGTAAACTTGTGGATTTCCGAGTTTCGTGGAAGCAGGTCAAATAGAGGTCGATTGGCCATCTTAAATAACCATTTCTGGAGTGTAGAACGTCTGTCTACTTTACGTGGTCGGAACCTTTGCCTCGGGCGCTTTTTGACGGCGCTCAAGAATTGTTAGAACTTGATCTTGACCTCTGGCGTTGGTTGGCCTTCCGGTGTTCGGGTCGGCTTTTCCGTGGGTTGCTGTCGCGCTTGGCACTGATTTTACCATTGCGCTTGGCACCGGTTTGGGTATATTGCTTTCCATGAGGACCGGAGTGGACGATAGATACTTCGCGCTGTCGACTTGTATCGACTCGGTTTGTTGTGCCAGAGGAAAGATGGAGTTGGTTTCGAACGATCTCTCGGATCGAAGTTTCCGAAGGCACAAAATCCTCGCTAACGTCCATGTTAACAAGACTTTTATGTTTTTCCTTGCGGTCAATCTCCGTTTGAAGAGCTGTAGAAGCTCTAGAGACTGCACTGTCTTTAGAAAGCTCTTCTGCGAAGGCTGAAGAGGCGACACAGAGGCTGCTAGCTTGATCTTCCGTAATATCGATTTTAAGGAGCTCAACCTTCCATCGTGCAATCGTCCATTCGATATTGGCAGTAGTGGAGCGAACGGCCTCCTGATGGACTTTTACTTCAGCGCAGAGATGATCTGTAGCAGCTTCCAACAGCTTCAATTCTGCCTCGCGAACAATGTCGTCAAATTTGGCTTGAGGCTCGTCGACATTATGACCTTTGGCTTGGATTCTCTTGATCCTAAGACCAGACGGAGTAGTGCCTTGGCCCTCGTGAGTCTCTAGCAATTTGATCAGTTCTAGCTTGGAGAGAGGAGTAGGCTTTCTCGGCATCTGCTCGCATCACGGTTTTAACCGTGTTCCCCAAAATATTTTTCTCACCTTACCTTACACGTGTTAAATTTTTCACCAATTTTTCACAACTTCGCCTGTTCCTGTTCGTAAGTCCGACCAAGCTTTCACGGTCATCGGCCCCAGTAACTTTGGCTTATAAAGACAGGCGTTTAGTTATACTTGTAAAACTCCCTGAAGAAGTCTACGACAGTTAGACGAAACGCGTAGGAAAATAAAAGAAGTTTTGCAACTACTGTTCGCAGAGAAGTGCTGCGCACTAATCTATAATTAAAAAATTAAAAAAGTTATGTTAATCGCAAGTCATCTTTGTCGACCTTCTCCTGGTTTTTGTGGAATGTTTCGCTTCCATCATGGATTTAGCGGAAGGTGAAGCTGAAGAAGACTTGAAGACCCTTCCCTTTAATATTCGTGTGTTGTCAGACTACGCTAAGGCTTTAGACAAGCAAGTAAAGGGACGATATCTGGAAAAGATATCAGTCGTAGGAGTTGACCCTGTCAGTATTCCTTATGAGCAGTTTGACTCCGAGTGTTTGCCCCAAAAAGAAGCGACTGATTTGCTTGGATATTTCGTCTTAGAGACAAGCTTTTGTACAAGACAGCAGTTTAAAGCCTACAAGATGATGGCGATTATCAAACAATTCTTAGCCCAACTGGTTGGCTTACTGGTGATATAATACAACAGGCTCAAGTGCTGCTACAGAAAGAAAATTCAGTAATCGAAGGATTGCAGCGGCCCACTCTAGGCCCAGCCCATAACTTTGATATTGTTTCTGGGGAATTTGTGCAAATTCTGCATACCGGAAGTAATCACTGGGTTTGTGTAAGCTCGATCGGATGTTTGCCTGGCCATGTAAATCTCTATGACAGCCTCTACCATGATGTCATTTGCCAAGAAGTAGAAGACCAGACAAATGACTTGCTCGGTGGGACACTGGCTAGTCTACAGTTTGTTTCTGTGCAACAGCAAACAAATGGAAGTGACTGTGGCGTTTTTGCCTTTGCTTTTACCACATGCCTTGCTTTGGGAATAAATCCAAGCCATGTGACATTTGACATTCAAGGAATGCGTTCACATTTAGTTGCATGTTTTATGACAGAAAAAATGAGCATATTTCCATGTTTTTGAGTCTTACCAATTCTGTTTAATTAAGGAGAAGTGATATATTTTTCTTTGGCATAACAATAAAACTATAAGTTTTTATAAATTTCCCAGGTTAATATTGTGTGGTTCCAGAAAATTTCCATACTCACCCTATGGAAGGTCAATGGAAATTCAAAGGGGGAGGGTTTTACAAAATCCAAAATTTATAAGTCAAAGCATGAGACTTAATTGGGAATTTCAGGGAGGGAGAGAGGGTTCAAAATGGTCAAACCTTCCATGTTGGAGGTATGGATATTTTCTGCAACCACAAATTCTACTTCAGGGCTAATGTATGTGAACATCGCATAATTTCTGGGAATTACTACTCAACAAGGGTTAAATGGGTCTCACCAGGTGAAAAGTTCAGGTCAACAATATTTGTTTATTTTGGTCATTATTTCAAAATACTAAATGTTCTAAACAAAGGTCTCTTCATTTCAGTCTAGTAGTTTTAGTTGAGAGACATTGATGGGCTCCTGACTGCAGAGATTAGTTAAAAGTCAAAAGACGATACATATTTACTGATTATTCCCTTTGTTAATATGAACTGTCTGTTTTATTGTGATGTGCATGTAACAATGAATTATCATATTGTAGGGCTTGGAAAAACTTGAAAACCAGCGTTCCCTGCAAACAAGCAGCTCTCAAATTTCAAAAACTTTATCATCATTTAATGAGCTATAAATACCCTTTTCTTGTTGAAGAATGACATGCTAAGTATAGAAAACAGGTGTTTCAAAGAGCTTGCGACTGAAATGATTAATCAAAAGGAATTATTGGAGGGCATAAATTAACAAGGGCAGAACAAACCCTTACAGTTTGGTCTATCATAGGGATCTTAGCATCTGGAGTTCCTCTGCGGTTTGAAGAGAGAAAATCTGTAGGCAGTGTTCCTTCTAGAATGATGCACTTTCGCTTCAACAAGCCAATAACTCTCTCCACATTGATTCCCACATTTGCAATGCCCCTTGTTCGCTCCGCATCTACAGGATCTAACTGTGACTTTCCCTCAGTAAATGCTGGGATTACTAACTTGGCTTGTTTCAACCCAACGCTATCACAAATAGTAAATCCCCGATCAGCCATTACCATGTCACCAGGAAGTAGGTTTTCTAAAAACCCACACTTCTCAGTCAAGTAGTTGTCAGAGGTACGGTCATCCCAAGCCTCAGACACAAAACAGACAGTTCCTTGTGGAGTAAATCCAATAATAATTTTTACTGTGTTATGGTGCTTATAATTAGAAAAAGTCTGTGCCCTGGCAAGTAAGTTTGTTGGCCTATCAATAAACACCTCAAAGCAGACAATTATTACTGTGACCTGCTTACCAAAGGCATACTGAAAGAACATAGGCATTGTCCTCTATAGTCTTTCCCTGTCTGGCCAAAAAACCAGGGGAGACAGTCGAGCATCCATCACCATCATCCACGATGAAAAGATCCTTGAAACTGTGGATGTTGAAACCACAAACCGGTAAGCTAGGTCTTGAAAGGGAACAAAGGCTGAAAGTTTCGAAAGAAACTGTTTGGGGCTGCGTCGGTGGGGGTAACGAAATAATTTGGATATATCAACAAAGTTGAAATGGTAAATTGGCCACCGTAAGGATTACAAAAGCTGACGTTTCGAGCGTTAGCCCTTCGTCGGAGCTCCGACGAAGGGCTAACGCTCGAAACGTCAGCTTTTGAAATCGTTACGGTGGCCAATTTACCATTTCAACTTTGTTGATATATCCAAATTACTTGAAAGGGAACGTTTAGCCGCAGCTTGATGAGCACCATGATAAATTCCTGAAATCTGTTCAGGGATTGTGTGCGGCGGGTAATGTACTTGGCAACATGCTCAAACGCCACCATGAGTATTTCCCAAGAAGGCAGTCCGGTGTAAAATCGAACTTATTCGTCCGTATGAAAACACTCTTTATCTGGTGCCTTGTGCCCCCTTTGCCTAGCATTCAGAAGGTAGTCAAATTCTTCGGTTTGTGTTTCGGCGTCCAGTAAATTAATTGCTAGCACGTAAGAAGCGGTGCTCGTTTCACTCCGTGTTCTTCTGTTTGTGTTTCGACATTCACGGTTATCGCAGTTTACACGAGGGAAGCAGTGTCTGTCACACTTTGTTTGCCACTCGCACAAGGCTCATCTAGCATCATTACCTCGCTCTTTTCTTCGCTCTCTGAAGTTGACGTGCTTGGTGGAGCGGTAAAGTCTATGTCAATTATGTGCCATAAAAACTTTGGTGTCATCCACGTAACCCAGTGCTCTATAGTGTTTAAGGACCTGGAGAAGATCGTTCACGTAAAGAGTAAATAGCACGGGGCCTAAGATGGATCCCTGGGAGACCCCTGCCTTCAACGGAAGTGGCTCAGATAGGGATTCCTCTATCTTGACAACTTGCGTACGCTGCGATAAGTAGCTTAGGAACCAAGAACACGTAGCAAATGAAACACCTAACTTATGGAGTTTGTTGATTAACAGATCATGACGGATGCTATCAAATGCTCTCGACATGTCTAGCAAGACGATTACAGATATTTTCTTATCATCCGTGTTCTTCAGCAATTCATCAGTGTAGTGGAGTAAGGCCGTTTCCGTGGAATGGTGTTTTCTGTTCCCACTTTGTGAGTGATGTATAATGCTATTTGAATCTAAGAAATCTGTAAATTGAGAGAGTGCAGATCTTTCGCATACTTTAGACACAATAGGCAACAATGATATAGGACGTGTGTTGGCAGGATCCTCATAATCACCGGACTTTCGGATGGGAATGACCTCAGCCATTTTCCAAACATTAGGAAAGGAATTTTGAGAAAACGACCAATTAATAAGGTTGGTAATGATTGGAACAGTCGCAGGTGAGCTGTCTTTCAACACTCTAGCAGTAATTTTATCATATCTGGGTGCTTTATTAGGTGGAAGATTTTTTATAATCTTCGAAACATCTTCGTCGGTAACAGAATGGAATCTGAAGTTTACGCAATCCTCGTCGCTGATGCTACTAGGATGCGGATTTATATCCTTGAAGGTTAGTCTGTGCTCGATGGAAAGAGCGGAGGCCTTTTTAGCAGCTGTTGGTCCGACGTTGGTATAGAACTCGTTGAACTTGTTGGCTAGGGCGTTAGAATCTTCTAACGTTAAAGATGATGTGTTTTTCTTTGGGATTACTCGGTTAATAATTTCCAGATGGAGTTAGTACTTCCATTAGTATTTCGAAGCTCTGATCGAACGTGTTCCATTTTCGCAAATCTAATTTCGCGTTTGACTTCTTGGCGAAAAAAGTGGTAAGCGTTCTAGTGTAGTTTGTCGCCTGTTTTAATTGCGCTTTTATGCCAAGCATCGCGCGTATTCATGGATTGTTTACTTTCAAGAGAGATAAATGGATTAGGCTTTGATTTTATCTTGATTCGCTTGATTGGGGCGTGATCGTTTAAAGCCTCAAGAAATAAACGCCTTTCATGTTATGAAACCATTCCTTAAAATGTGATCTGATCCTAATTAATTTTACAAATTTCAGTTACATATAATGAGTCGGAGGCATTTGTTTTGGCCAGATGCTACAGATCGATGAAGATATATGAAACACCACATTCTCTTCAAGTGATAACTGGTATGGATCAAATAACAGTGTCTGGAAAGTGTTCTTGTGTAGCAGGTGGTGGAGGGATTTTTGTCACCTTGTTGTGGGCCTTCCTTTTTACTTGTCACACTGTAAGCAACTTGAGCTAAAGAGCTTACCTGATGATCTGACATATACTATGATGGCGCAACGATGAAGTGTTCCCAGAGGGAAACACATAAATCCTCAATGTGTGGACACCTTGATGATGAAGAAGCCTCAGGAGGGTGCAAACTATAATAAATTCATTAAAACCACTCTGTACTCACCTGCATCCCAGTATCATATTCTGCGCCCTGCTCAAAAAGCTAAACGCAAAAATCTAAATCCTGAGCCTTTGCTGTGGAGTTTGTTACCAGATCCGGAAAACTTCGCAAGCTCACATCTTCCTTCTGTAGAAACCAAATTTGGAATGGTGCCAGAGGGGTCTGTAATATCTTACCAACAAAGGCTCACAGAAAAATGTCATAAATGGTTATACCCACACCTCATTCCCCAAGCTACCCCTTCCAAATGCAGGTTAAAGGTTTAAGAACAATGCTTGAACAGCAAAAAATCAGCAAAGCTAGAGTCATTGTCAGTCACTTTAGAGATAGCACATGCTTTAGAAGAAAAAATGAGAGAACAGATGGAAGTGACCTTTGGCATTCATTAAGAAAAAAAAGAATCATTGCGAGCAAGTTTGGAACAGTGGCAAAGAGAATTTCTAATTTTGATACTCTTGTTAAACAACTTCACCCACCTAGGTGTTACACACTCAAATCAACCAGATTAATGAAACACAAGGTTATATTTATTTCCAAAACTTCGAGCACATGCGTTTTCTCTCTTTTACCCGACACCCTTTTGGGTTCATGAACTCGACAAAACATGTCACGCACTCTACACACTCCCCCGCCGAAAATGAAAGTGTTCTTCTAAATATTACAAAACTATTTATCAGGGTTCTCTGCAGCTACTGTAACTGTTGTTTGATATTGTCTCCTTCAGCACCTTGTGTGCTTTTGATTTTCTTTTTTTTTTTAATGTTTGAGTCTTATAAGAGGCTCCTCTCAAGCCCTCGAGTAGTAGACAGGTTGGAAACAGCATGGCCACACCCAGAAATACAGGGGTGTTCCCGGAGGAATAGCTGTGATAGCTGGAGCTTGAATGGCGTTAACGCGTGAACTGCTGAATCCTGGCTCAGCCGACTGGTACTGTGGGTTTCCCAGGGAGTTGTAAGTTAAGATCTGCGGCGGTCTCCTTTGGCGCTGCGGCCGAGTCCACATGTCCTGCTCAGCAATATCCTCTCCCTCTGATCCGTCATTGTCAGCACTTCCTTCATTTGCAAGTTGTATTTCGCTGGATGGCCCATTGGTGCCCTCAGTAGTCGCAGAATCCTCAATTGACTCTGAAGGCAAATCGCGTCCTGGAGACACTGAGTTTGAAGTTCTTACTTCAGTAGGTATTTCCTCTACAAGGTCCACACTACCGAAATCATCATCATCTTTCCCCGAATTCTGTAGGTCATTTCCCGAAACAGACAAAAGTCGTTTCTCTACTGCTGATTTTGGGGGTCGTGTACCAAATCCCAGATTTGGGGCATCTGCTTCCAAAGCGTCACAAGGCAGTAGTAAATTCCGGTGAAGTACTCTTGCGCGGCCACCTCCACTCTCGGGCTTCACTTTGTAGACTGGGCTTTGAGCCCCCATTCGTTTAACCACAACGTGGATAGCGCACTCCCAATGGGATCGTAATTTTCCGGGGCCACCGCGCTCTGTTAAATTTCTAACTAGCACCCGATCGCCTGGCTGAAGAACGCCACCTGAGANTTTTACCCGACACCCTTTTGGGTTCATGAACTCGACAAAACATGTCACGCACTCTACATAGGCTTGTACAGACAGCTGCTACGAAGCGGGGCATAGAAATGGGGGGAAGAGCAGCATCCATATATGCCACTAAAGCAAAGAAAGGGATGATAAACTTGTATTCAAGTGGTCTGGTAATAAATTCAAAATGCCCCTGGCCTGGAAGTTCCCCAGACAGGAAGGTTTATGATATTGAGGCAGCTCAAAATGGTTCATGAAGTCCCTATGGCTTGTTTGAGACAAAGGTTGCCCAGGAAGGAACAGCCAGCTTAGATGACGTGGCTTACCTTAAGCGTGACCCCATTTCAAATGAATTAACCCTAAACAAGAAACATACATATTATTTACAAGTACAATGCCGATTAGGTACTTCTGGCCTGGATTGGTGTGACTTTTTCCGTTACATCAATGATGATTTGTTTTTATGTCAAAGAACAGTATTTGATCCTATTTTTTCCAAGAATGTAAGGATAAGGTTCACATGTTTTATTTGAAGTATTTTTTGTGAGAATACTTACATCACTGTAATATGTATAATGAGAACACCCTGTGGCACCTGCTAAGACAAATTATTTTTCAAAATTAATGGTCCTTGAAAATTTACAAGCAAACATCCCACTGTCCACATCTGATTGACGGTGCCCAAAAGTGACAAAGGAATTTCATTGTCGAAAAGTTGATACTCTTTAATTCGGCGTATGGCGCTCTCCACATGAATCCGGACTTTGGCTATGGTTTTTGTTTCTTTGACTTCCTCTGGTGAAAACTGTGCATGATTTAAAAGATATGTTGGAAGGTTTTCCTTTACCCCTTTACTGCATAATAGATCATCAATATTAAAACCCTTATCAGCCATCCACTATTAATAGGCTCGAAAAGAATTTAAAATTCCACAACACTTTATAATCTCTTTATCTGAAATAGAACCAGTATATAGTGAGGATACAAGTAAACAAGCTTATTTTTCTCACCTTCACTCAGAAATGTTTTATTCGCTACCATTCTGGAAAACTACATTGACTCGACTATCATCACCTAACAATATCAACTTAAAAAATAGACAAAACCGACGTTGAAAGAGAGTTTAAAAAAATGATATGACGCACCAGTTGGCAAAGTGCGGATTATACGAACGCGAAAACACAAGCAAATACGGAGCTTTCCGACAAATCAAAAACATCAGTAGGTCTGCAACTATTACAGTCGCTCTTTTATAGAGTTCTCAGTGGATAAAGATCGTTTTGTTCCGAAACAAAGAAGCAAGTAGAGCAAATATTTGCGTAACTCACCCTTCGCCATCTCACGAGGCAGTCATTGTTTCCCGTAGCAACCGACTTGCTTGCCCTCCAACATGGTGGAAACGATCACGTGACTTCTTAGTGCAAGGAGCCTATTCTCAGATCAATGCGATCAAAAAATATTCGACGACGTATCTCCAGGACAGATTGCATGACTTATAGTTCTCATAATTATTGGGAATTTTCCCATGAGGTAGTTTCTTTAATAATGAGGTCATGATTTCATTTCAAGGATTTGAAAGTTTCTGCCTACTTGTTGAAACGAAATTAATTGTTTAATGTTGCATTTATCGTGATCTTAGAATGATGAATAGCTTGACCAAAATCAAATAGGCGGGAACAAACCACCCCGGCCCCTCCCCGATGAGTTTCTGCCCAGAATCTTTCTTCCCAGCCGGGTTATGGGTTAGTTGTTTTGTTTGCGTAGCCAGTGCAGAATTTTTTTTTTATATCGAGGTAATAAGCGCCAAGAATAAACTTCATTTCATTTGACCTCTTTGACATGCTGATGTGTCGTCACGTGTATTTTTAGGCCTCGTGACTAACGTGCGTGTGTGACATGACATGGCGTAAATAACTTTTTATATTAGGCTGTAGATGTTGACCTTTACTTTTCGTTTTCAGAGTGAATATTTAAGGAGGCCTGTCAACAGATTTATACAGGCGTGCGTGTAGATGGTGATGTGACAATTACATGTGCAAATGTGGGATGCTAATTGTGCATCACCCTCTCTCTCTTAGAAAGAGGAATGATAAATAAATAAGTGTACCAATATATTAGAGTTCAGTTCATCTTAACATAGTCTTTGCGGCCGTTTACGAGTCCTTTGTGAGCGGCGAAGTCCGCACTCATCGGCTCGAGGTGGTGCACTCTCTGGTTCCATTTGCTCAGGGTCAGCTGGTTGTCTTTCCTGCTCCTGTTCAGAGTGTGTGGATGCTTTTTCAAGATGGTCCATCTTAGGCTTTGGTAGATTGTGCTCGAAAAAAAAGCATATTATGCTTTAGCAGTGCTCATATTTTTTGGAAATTATGCCAAAATTATGCTACTTTCTGAAAATTATGCTCTCTGTCACCGAAATTATGCTACTTACATTTTATACTGATTTTAAGGAAAATAAAGATCATCAGTGGATTAACTCTATCAATTTTGACTTTAATGAACATTCATATAGTCCACCTCCCCGTCTTGCAGTCTTTAGCATCGCAAATACGCATGTGCGCACCTCGAAAAGCCAAATGATTAACAAATGATACGTTCTCTAGAGGTTAAAGCCCTCGGTACGGCACTGGAAGAGCTTGAAGTGGTGGAAGTGGATGTACTCGAGGACGACGCCATCTTTGATCTGAGGCCTGAGGGGCCGAGCCGCCGAGCCATAAGCGTGGTAGCCTGAGTCTCAGTCTTATGCACAGGGTGATCTCTGCCGCCTGCCAGACCATATTTGACCATGAGCCTTAGGACAGACCTCAATATTTTCCAAAAACAATACAAAAATAAAATACAAACTGCATTATTCTAGAGCTATGATGGTTTTTTTTTTGTTTTCAACGCATAAAAGCTTGGATTATGCCAGCAGTGCTAAACTGAAATAAAAGCTGAAAATAATGCTCGTTTTGCTGAATTATGCTTAAAATTATGCCAGTACAATCTACCAAAGCCAAGTCCATCTCCGTTCTCGCCTCCCGGATTTGGGCATGCTTCTTCGAACAGGTCCCATTGCAGTCTTGACCACGCAGGATCTCGATGTGGGTTGTTCAACTACCTCCCCGTAGATCCATGGCTGAGATTTGTTTGTTGAATACCTTTTCACCTGGAGAAAATGGTTTCAGCGGGCCCGATGCCCTCTTAATTATCGTAATGGGCTTTTGATCGGACTCTCCTCTTTTCGATCTTTCTCATTACAACCTATCGCAATGCGGCTTGTGGGAGGAGCTGGCTGACCGCTGTTGGGATGACGTCTCGAAGTTTACGAGACATTAGTCGCTGTGCTGGTGAGTACTGGTATCCCTGGTATGGTGTGTTTCGATAGGCCAGAAGAGCCAGCTACGGGTTCTGAAACCAAGATTTCTTCAGAATATTTTTCGCGGTCATGACTGCAGATTCTGCTTTTCCGTTTCCTCGACATTGATAGAGAGATGATTTAATATCGGTGAATCCATATTCGCGTGCAAAACGTGCGTATTCGTGGCTAACAAACTGCGGACCGTTGTCTGTTACGCATTTGTCGGAAATGCCGTGACGTGCGAAATTTCTCCTCATGGCTCGTATGACTGCAACGGCTGACGTGTTTCTTAAGGGCTCAAGTTTGATATAGTCAGTGTAATGGTCCACAGGCACAAGGTAATTACTGCTATTTAGTAGAAACAGATCTGCACTCACTCTTTCCCACGGTCGAGACGGTATGGCATGTGACTGCATGGGTTCCAAGGGCCGCTCACTTAGGTATTGAGAACACGCACCACATAAGGAGCATGTTTGCCTAATTGCTGCTTGCATTCCTGGCCAATAAAGGGATTCCCGGGCTCGTCGTTGTAGAGTTTAATATGCGTATCTAAACAACGGATTAAACCGGATTACACCACGGTCCTTAACTCTCCGACTCCATTCTCTCTTCTTCTCGTTTCTATCCTATAACAGTCTTTCATATATCCCGGCATACACTACAACCCCTCTTCCCCTAAGGAGAAGACTTAACATAACGAAACAACATGAACGGGTCAAAACGTCTCCAACACGAGCCGGATTAAAGTGTTCAGTAAAAATTCACTCTGAGAGCTTCAATACACTACCAATGTGAAACTTAAATAATTTTTTCAATAAGGTGTCTTTCTGAACCGGCAAATGAGTTTCTAACGCGAGCCTCATCAATTAAAATGTTCGATAATTGTTCAACAAAGTCTCACTCTTTCACCAAACAGAGTTCGTACCCTTCGAAATCTTTTAAGTTCTCCGGTGGCCTCCTTTCCCTTACTGGTCTTCCTTGGGGTTCTGTTCTCCTTCCAGTATCATCTTCCTCTGAAGGGTCATCTTCAACAACTTGTTCATCTGCGGTAGTATCCTCTCTCAAGTATTTCTTAACATCGGCCACGTTTCTCCTCATGTTTACTCCTTCGGGTTACGATATGATGACCTCGTTACCGTGCTTCTTGCTGATGGTATATGGAAGTGGGCCATAAGTAGTCAAGAGTTTGTTCTCTTTCTTTTGTTTTAAGAGTACTAAATCACCAGGATCTAGTTCGCTCTCTCGAACTCTCATTTTCCCATCAGCAAAGTCGGTTCTCTCCAGCTTTATCTCTACATCCTTGTCTCTCGTCTCACTGTCAGAGTACCTGGAGTTTCCCAGTTCAGGAATCTTTGATCTGATTTCCCTGTTGAACATGAGTTTGGCCGGTGTGACGCCTGTACTGGTGTGAGGTGTAGTTCTATAGGCTGTTAAGAACTTTCGCATCTCGGTCCAGATATTCTTTTTTTAGCTTTAGCAATCTTAAGGGCCTTAAGCAAGCTTCTGTTCTGTCTTTTAACCTCCCCATTTGCCTGAGGCCATGGGGGGTCGAGGTGCGGTGCTCTATATCATTTGTTTCCAGGAAACGTTCAAATTCATCGGACACAAACTGTGAACCGTTGTCAGTTTTCAACGACTGTGGTAACCCATGGGTACAGAAAATCTTATCCAAACTCTCAATGACTTTAGTGGATGTCACGGACGTCAGAATGTCCAATTCGAAATATCGGCTGTAATAATCAACAACGACCAGTACATATTCCCCCGACGGTAGGGGTGCCACTAAGTCTGCGGCTAGGTCAATCCAGGGTTGACTTGGAAACTGTGTATGTCGTAAGGGCTCTGGTGGTGTAGGCAGTCCAACAAGTTGGCAGCCATGGCAGGTGTTACACCGGTTTTCCACTTGTTTATCAATTCCAGCCCACCAAACCTTTGTGCGAAGTCTCTGTTTGGTTTTTACCAGCCCCTGATGACCCTCATGTGCTAAGTCTAGTACTCTTTCACGTAGTCGTCGTGGAATTAGCAACCTCGTTCCCCTTAATACTAACTTTCCGAGGAAAGAGAGTTCATTTCTGACCTGTTTATACTGTGGCGGGGCTTTGTCCCAGTCTCCTGTTAAGACGCACTCTTGTAGTTGTGAAATTTCTGGGTCGGTTGCTGATTCTCTCTCAATTTCTTTGATGGGTATTGCCACTGGTGCTGATGTTTCTGCCACAGAGCGAATAAATTCCTCAGCATCATTATGACTACTCAACTCTTCCTTACCAACACGTCGTGAAAGAGAGTCAGCAATGTTCTGTTTACTTGGTACGTACTCTACCCGAATCCGGTATGGCTGAAGGCGAAGTACCCAACGCTCTATCCGAGCCAAATTGCGGTAACTAGTCGAGTATATAGTTTCTAGGGGCTTGTGGTCTGTCAGCAATATGAACTCCATCCCATACAGGTACATGTGAAACCTGTCGCATCCCCACACCAGTTCCAATGCCTCTCTTTCTTTTTGTGAGTGTCTGCTTTCAACTCCTGTAAAGGCACGACTAGCATATGCGATTACACGCTCTTGTCCCTCTTGGACCTGTGTAAGCACTGCCCCAAGGCCTACCGGGCTTGCATCTGCAAATTAGCTTGGTTGTTTCTGAATTTTTGTTGAAACATGCCAATGTTTCTGCCCGTCCTAGCTTACTCTTCAGGATCTCAAATGTCGCTCCTTGTTCTGTGCCCCATTTGAATGGTACATCCTTCCTTGTCAATTCTCTGAATCGCTCTGACATGCTTACTAAATTAGGAATGAACCGGGCGCTAAAATTCACTAATCCGAGGAAACTCCGCACTTCTTCTGCGTTTGTGGGTTCCTTAGCCCGGACTACTGCGTCAACACGTGACTCTGTTGGGCCGATACCTTTCCTTAATAGCAGATATCCCATGAAGGTGAGTGGTAACATTCTAAATACACACTTGTCCGGATTGAGGGTCAGTCCTTTGTCGCTAATACACTCAATGGTCTTTTGCAACCTGCTGTCATGTTCTTCAACCGTACGACCATGAATAATTATATCATCGTAGATATTGTAGGCACCCTCACATCCAGCCAGCACTTGTTGAATGTTGTGGTGATAAAGCTCCGGGGCAGAACTGATTCCGAACGTCAAGCGTTTATACCCATACAACCCCTTGTGAGTAATGAATGTGGTAATAACTCTCGACTGTTGTTCCAATTCAATGTGATGAAATCCCCATTTGAGGTCTAATTTGCTGAACACCTTGCTTCCATTCATTTGATAGAGTATGTCATCAACTGTGGGAATGGGATGACGTTCCCTTACGATAGCCTCATTGGCTTTTCTCATGTCTACGCAGAGTCTGATGTCCCCCGAGGGTTTGGGAACCACCACGACCGGGCTTACCCATGGAGTGGGGCCTTCAACTGGTTCGATAATATCACAGTTCACCAGTTCCTTGAGTTTCTGTTCTATTTTGTCCCTTAGCCCATAAGGTGGGGGTCTCAACTTCTGTGCAACAGGTTTAATCGAGGTGTCAACATGGAGCTTTGCTTGAAAACCCTTAAGTTTTCCTGCTCCCTCAAAACACTCAGAAAAATCCCTAAGCAGGTTTTCTTCTTCCATGGCATTAATTTCAAGTTTCAGTATTGCCAGTTCCTCTGAGGTCTCCCTGCTAAGTATTTCCCTTGCTTTCTCCTCCACAACAATAAAACACACATGTCAACGTTTATCCTTATAACAAAGAGCAGTTTCAAACTCACCAGCAGTAGTAAGTGGCTCATTGGATTCATAAGAGTACAGCTTTATGTTGGATTTTCTTGAAACACATTTCACTTTCTTCTCCTTAAGCCTCTCCAATGTCGCTCTGTCAATAGCATTGCAAGTGGAGCCAGAGTCGACTAGAACTCCTTCCAGTCGAACACCTCCTACCTCAATGTCTACGGTGGGAATATCTCTTCCATTAGACTGTAAGGTGAAGGCGAAATCATTATCTTTGGTCACTTGGCGTATATTTCCTTTCCTGGGTCTATTAGCATCGTCTTCCTTCGTTTTGCAAACTTTGGTAAAATGCCCCACTCTTTTACATTTCATACAAGTCTTCCCTTGCACTCCGGATCCTTTGCCAGATGTCCTCCGAGTCCACACTTATAACAACGTGCTCCTGCACGTTTAGGCGAATCAAAATGTCCCCGCTCTAAGGAATTTACATTTACGCTACGTGAATCGCTTTCAATAGACCGTGCCTGATTTTCGGCAGCTTCCATGGATCTAGCAACATCTCTAGCCTTCTGAAGTGTGAGTTTACCACTGACAGCGAGTAGTTTCTTGCGAAGATCATGGGACCGACATTTATCAATGAACTGATCGCGTATTTGTTCTTCCTTGGATGTTCCGAAGACGCAATTCTCGCTAAGCTGGAACAATCTGGTCTCAAACTGGTCTGTTGTCTCGGACTCTTCCTGTTTTGCTTGACGGAACTGATGTCGTTCAAACGGGATGCTAACTTGTGGCAAAAAATTGCGTCCAGTAGTCTCATAGCTTTCGGATACTGCGTTTCTTCTTCTGGAGCTGCTCCAGAGTCACTCAGCGTAACAAAAATGTCCTGAACATCCTGTCCAGCGCAATGCAAAAGTAAGGCTTGTTTTTGGGCGTCTTTTGTGATACTCTTGGCCTCGAGAAAAAACTCAAAAGAACGTTTCCATCGTCTTCAACGAGGTCCCACGCTTGTCGGATGGCCTGCGCAATCGAAAGGTTGTATGTTTCCAAATTCGATGTTCACGGCCATATTTGCTCTGCATATGTCTGAAAAGTTCCTGTTTATCCTCGTCGCCAATCGTAGAGTTTAATATGCGTATCTAAACAACGGATTAAACCGGATTACACCGCGGTCCTTAACTCTCCGACTCCATGCTCTCTTCTTCTCGTTCCTATCCTCTAATAGTCTTTCATATATCCCGGCATACACTACAGTCGTATGCTAAAATCTGCGCCTTGGTGTGCTTTGGGTATCTTCTGTAAGAGTTCAGGTCGGAGTGATGCAGGAACAATGACCTGATGAGATTTGAAAAGCACTCCATCACATACTGAAATCTCATCTCTGAGGTCCCAGTAGGCTCTGATTTCCTCTGGTACTTCATTCTTTTGGCAGGGCCAGCTACTAAGCACCACTTTGTTCAGTGGGTCTTTCCCAGTTTCCTCTCTGATCTGATTTATTGTACCGGGTTTGACAAGGTTTGGTGACAGGTCCATCTATGTGAGATCCACACGAGAATACATCGCACTCTTGCGTCATTCTAAGGGGGGGGGGGAGGAAACTGGGGTCCATCACTGAGAGGTGCGCGAGACGGAGTGTCGGCCACGATGAGCTCTTTTCCTTTCTAATACTGAACAGGGAAGTGATAGTTTTGCAATCTCAACACCATTCTCTGAGGCGTGCGTGGTGCTCTACTCAAGGGTTTCTTGAAAATGGTCTCTAGGGGCTGATGATCAGAGTGGACTGTTATGTCATGCTTTCCATACAGGTAATGATGCTATTTCTCCATACAGGCCACAATTGCCAAGCATTCTTTCTCGATCTGAGCATAATTCTTTTCTGTAGCGCTGAGGGTGTGTGACATAAAGCAGACAAGATGGCCCTCGTGAAGTAAAACTCTGCCCATGGCACTGTCAGATGCGTCTACTTGAAGGGTCATAGGAAGGCTGACATCATAATAGCGCAACACTGTTGTGGAGGGTACGAAGATCTTGGTTGAGTTGAATGCTGCCTCGTGATCTTCAGACCAAAGAAATTCACTTTCATCCCAAGTTAGGTCCCTCAATGGGAGGACTGTTAGGGACCGGTTTTGCCAGAAGTTGGACAAGTACTGCTACATTCCTAAGAAGCGTTGCAAGGCGGCGTTATCTATTAGGGTTGGCATTCCTGTGATCGCAGCTACTTTGCTTGGATCAGGCTGCACTCCTTTGTTGGTAAATCGGTGCCCCATAAATGAAACAGAGCTGGACTTGAATTGAATGTTTTCCGTGGAGAGTCGAAGATCGTGTTCATTGCACTTCTCGAGTAGCTGCGTAAGATGTCGGTCCTGATAAATATCAGCTTATTCCTTAGTATCGCCACAACCATAAACACAAATGCCATCTGCTATGTTGATTACCCATTCAGTCCATCCAAAAATTCATGTTGTCGCCGCTGATATTCTTCTGGTCCTGAGGCACTACCAAAGGGTATTCGATTGTAACAATAGCGACCATTTGGGCCCCGGAAAGTTGTTAGTAGGAAAGAGTCTTCATCCAGTTCAATAGTGTGAAACGCCTGAGAAACGTCAACGACGGTGAATACCTTAGCGTTTGTCAGAAGAGGTAGCCTCTCTTCGATTGTGGGTTTGGTGTATTTGGGTCTTTTGATTGTCTTGTTTATGGTCTGGCTCGGATTGATGCAGATGCGGAGTTTGCCATTAGGTTTTTCTTTAACCAGCATATTGGAGAACCAATCAGTAGATTGGGTTACAGGTCTTATAATTCCCTCTACACAGAGCCTTTCCAGCTCTTCATTGACCCTGTTTAACTTTGCCACTGGAACGCGGCGACTGGGGGCATGAACGGGTGTGACAGACGGATCTAAATCGATGTGCATGGGGCTCCCAAGAGGTTTCCCGCGTCCTGGTTTGACGGTTGGCCGGGTAGTGCTTTAGGATGTCCTCTCAAGTTAATTTGCCGAGTGCAGGCAGCTTCAGTGCGAGTTGCATGTGGTCTCCTCCTCGAATGCGTTTGTCTCGTCTGCGTAGATGGTCAAATACTTTAAAGCCTGTGCGTCTCGTATACTAAGAAGTGGAGGTTTGTAGCCCAAAATTGATTTGTTTTCAAACAAAAACAAAACAAAAATGTTTTATTTTCCTGCTCAAAAGTTATGTCAGCCTATCTTTAACACATAAGCCTTGTTTTCAGGTGTCAGAAGAATAGGTGATTTCGTTGTTTAACGACTGTCCCAGACTGTGCTGTTATATAAGGGCTTAAATTTCGTTCCCATTTCTAAAACGACGGACGAATTCTCAATTAAACAAGACGTAGAAAAATTCCTTCGCCGCGTTCAATTAAAAGCCTTTTTTCACAACAAAGAGGATGATCCTAACACCTCGGACAAAGACACTTTCGAAACACTTCAGACTCGAGAGTCTAAATGGACTCCCCCAGAGGGCCAATTCGCATCATTANATCGACGACTGTATCGGCGCTACCTCCTCTACCAGAGAGGAGCTCACTCAATTCATAACCGCAGTCAATTCTTTTCACCCGGCTCTGAAATATACCTGGGAAATTTCTGACAATTCTTTATCCTTTTTAGACATCAAAGTTTCAATTGAAGGTAACGGTTTATGCACTAGTGTGTATTACAAACCTACAGACTCGCATAATTACTTGTTATATTCGTCTTCGCATCCATCTCACGTTAAGAATTCCATTCCTTTTTCTCAGTTTCTAAGACTTCGTCGTTTATGTAGTGATGACTCTGATTTCCACCACAAATCAGAGTCAATGTGCCAGTTTTTCGATAAACGTGGTTACCCTGTTTCTGTCGTTCAAGCGGGTTACCACCGCGCCCAACTTATTGATCGACATTCAGCACTACAAACGTCGCATAAGGAAGATTCCGACCGCATTCCATTCACTCTCACGTTTCACCCTCACAACCACTCAGTTAAATCCATCATTCTTAAAAACTTTAAATTACTTCAAAACGATCCAGAGACAAGCACTATCTTTTCGCAGCCTCCGCTCATTTCATTCAAACGCGACAAAAACATAGGCAATTTTTTGGTCAGAAGTTCTTTTCAGACTAATGACCAACCAGGCACTTTTAAATGCGCTCGTGCACGATGCAAAACGTGTCCTTTCATTCACAACACTGATAAAATATCGGGACCTAAACGATCCATTAAGATCACCGATCACTTCACGTGCACCTCCGCCAATGTAATCTATTGCATAACTTGCACTTATTGCAAAAAGATATACATCGGCGAAACAGGCAGAAGACTAGGTGACCGATTCCGAGAACACCTTCGAGACGTGGAAAGGAATGACAAGGACACATCGAAACCAGTCGCTAGACATTTTAATTTACCTAATCATTCTAAGCAACATATGGCAATCTGCGGTCTTTCCTTGCACTTAGGTGGCACGGAAAGCCGTAAAAATCTTGAACAAAAGCTCATCTTTCAAACCGGCAGTCTAAATCCCACAGGGATCAACGAACGGTTTTCATTCTACTAATTTATTCACGTTTTTCTCGTTGCCATGCTCCCACCAATAACGCAGCTCCATTTTCTGCCTTTAAAAGCACACACAACCCACAATTCCTCTATTCGGTTCGATGAAGGGCTCACGCTCGAAAAGTCAGCTTTTGTAATCATTACGGTGGCCAATTTACCATTTCAACTTTGTTGATATATCCAATTTATTATTTGTGGTTCGATGGTCGCGCTTTTTCGTCTTGTGTACTCCTGTTCTAGAACGGACCTTCCGTCAGACGTGAGGAGCACCCCGCTCATCATGTTTTAAAAGTAAACCAAAACTTTATTTGATCTACGTTTAGTTTTTACATTATATTTATTTGTTATGAAGGTTTTACTCGATCCCGAATCAATGCTATTTTTGTCAGAGCATTGAGATTTTTTACTGTTGTAATGCGTAAAACAGAAAACAGTGAAAGCACCGATCTGGGAATTTTCCCAACAAGTGAAAACTAGGCTGATCAAACAACCGTTCACTTGGTACACTTGTTCGAATAAAACTTCAAGAGAGCTGCCGAAAGAGAGTTACGACATGCACTTTATGCCATAACTATATTTCTACCAAATAGATGTCTTAAGAATCCTTTGGGTGAATGCTGATGTCCATCAGTTGACATCAGAAGGGAGGGGTTGATTCCAGGGTAAACATTTGTCAAGTGATCACAAACGATTTTCAATATGGCGGGCAGGTGTGATATTCGTTCCCTACTGTGAAATTGGAATCTTTTACGATTAGATAATTTCATTACTGCATCTTGAGACGTTTAAGATCCAGACAATATCAAAGAGTCTTTTTAAGCAGTTTGAATGAGAAAAAGCAGTCATATTTTGAATGAAAACATGATATTCAGAGCAATTCTCCGAGAAAGTGAAGCAAAGTTGGAAATGACAATTTTTAATTTTTTGTGTGGAGGTAGGTTACCTTGGGAGATGAACAAAAACAACCATATTTGGATCGGCACGTGTGTCGTTCCCATGGTAACCGCACTTGAACACATCGGCCTGAGGTCTATGTTTTGACCATAAAATTCACTCTCAAGAAGTAAAAATAAACGAGTCTGGTTCTCGGGCGTACGTGAACCAATTTAAATGAAATTCAGCAAATGGTAGAGGTACTCTCCTAGTTCATAAAATTTGGCGATAAAGTATTCTGGGTCTGACGATCAAGAAGGCAATGCTCGTAATATGTTGCCTGTCAGCCATTTCGACAAGCAGAAAAAACAAGCACAACCATATTTGGAATTTCTCCGAAAGTACTCTTTCCCAAAGAAACAAATTAGCAGTAGAGCTTACACAGATATTGAAGTTTCTAAATTACATAGAATCTATTTGCGGAAAATTATATTTTGGCAATGGGTGTTGAAAATTTTGAGGGCTCTATTATTTGGCTCAAACAAGTTTTTGATAGAGAATATCAGCTTCAGAAGTATTTTCTATCATCTTATCTGTTATCTACATTTGCTTGATTAGGTTTTGACCGACGGATTTGATGAAATATAAATTGAAACAAAGCCTACCTTGCAACTTTTGGAAACTTCTTCAGGATACCTTTGTCGTATAGTTTGGGTAATAATAATAACAATCTTTTATTAGGAAGCTCCATCACAATAGTGGTTTACATGGGTCTCTTCTCAGTTCGCTCGCTCCATTTTCTCGACCAAATTTTGCACAGACTCTAGCGGAAAGGTCAAATCTAACTGGCTAGTCTCACCGAACATCTACTTTTAGACCAGAGATAACGATGCATTAACCCGATTAAAGAACAGTCGAACAGGTCAAACACAATCGTGTGTCGAGTATCGAAAGAATTCGTCGATACAATCCATCCAAGAAGTTTATTAGATGCATCAAGATCACAGCTAAGCAAATGCATGTCTGCAACGATTCTGAATTAAGTCCTTGACTAGATCGAGCCGTACATTCCGTGGTGCATGGCTGAGAAGCGAAGAAATCGTTGTTTAC